AAGCTTTCCTGCTTAACAACATGTTCTACAGGGTAAAGGAATTTTCAAATTACATTTCCCTTAAAAAAAAATAAAATAAAGAAGAATTTTTTATCCCATTAGACTTTCTGTTTCATGTGAACCGTTTCAAGCTGAAGCAAAGAAAAAAGAACTACATATCACATCCTGTGAAATAGAAGGAGAATAGAAGAAAAAAATTGGTCAAAACTTGCCTCAAGTTATTTCAATTTCAAGTTATAAATGTAGAATGTACTACTATTGCTAAATTTGTTGTAGTTGCAAACATAATTGATATGTATTAATGTAATTATTATTAATATAATTATTATAAGTAGTAGCATTAAAATATATTGAAGTGTTAATTATTAGCAGATAATTTATCTACTGTATAATATCTTAATCTAACTGTAACAAGTATTGTATTTCTAGGCCAATGACCCCATCTCGATCAGGTTTTGTTCAGTTTCCCTGGTCCTTTGAGCAAATGCTGAGATGGCTCCTTGTTTGCTCCTGAACAGTAATATAACTTCGCTCTCTCCACCCAAGGCATCATATTGACTCGTCATACACGATTGTAATTGTATATGTGACTCAATAAATATTATTATTATTATAAACATTAGTTAGATGTCATACTTATGGCCATTCATAAAGACAAAATACATGAAACTGTAGAAAAATCTATCATAGAATGAAAAATTTAATTCACAGTTGAAACTGGAAGAATTGAAGATCAATTTCCTTGATATTACAATTATGAGAGAGAATAATAACTTAATCACTAACCAGAATAGAAAAGTGTCATACTGGAAAAATTGTTTAATTTTAAGTCTTCACACCCAACAATATAAAACAGAAATCATTTATGGATTTGCAGACAAAGCCTTATCATTATCTGAACAAAACTACCACAAGGAAATTTTAAAAACAGTATAACAGATTTTCAAAATTAAGAACCACCCTGTCAAATTTATCAGAAAACATATTAAAAAAAGAATACCAAAATAAGTTCAGTATTAGCTCAGAAGTAAGAGATGAAAATACAAATACAATTAGTGGATTGTTTTGCAGTAACAGCCACAAATAGGAAATAAAATTAGTAAATGGATATAGTCTCAAAACCAGTATATAAGATGAATAAAGAAAAAGTAGGATTGTAACTTAAAATATATAGAACAAACAAAAAGGAAAACACAAAATAGAAGAAATGAACATAAGAAAAATATTAATGAATAACCTGAAAGACAAAACTTCATATCAAAGCACTGAAAAGAAAACCTCCATTCATATACTCTTCATTCTTCAAGGATAATGTTGAGAACTTTTGGAAATAAAGGACAGGATGCTTTCAAGAAATAAATGCTATATCTTCATTATATGTTGTAATTTCAGCCACAATGTGCCACAAAATGACAACTTATGTAATTACACCAGGTAAAGGGAGGAAACAGTTTAATAACAGGGTCCAAAAAACAAACAAACAAAATATACACATAAAAAAATTCACATTCAGACTGAAGTCACAATGGATTCTATGCCACGTTTCACATACACGTAATGCTTAATTGGTTGCCCCAACAATAGTATCTTGTAACAACACTGTTACATGAGCATAATACTGTACACGCTCAATCTCACATCAAACATTCTTCCTTGTTTGGAATGGCACTGTATTACGATCTGAAGTGCAGATCTCGTTACATTTAATATATATATTTATGATTAAAATTTAACTAGCAAGGGTAACTAGAATTAAGGGAAAGGAATTTTTAATGAACTGAATAGAAGTTCAGAAGGAAGCAACATAAAAATTAATTGCTTCTATTATATTTAGATGAAAGAAATTAATTTTAATATCACAAAAATCGCCTTTCCAATTTGTAACCCCATTCTGGTAAATCACATATTATCATTGCTCAATAAAATCTTTATTCACATTGACATTTGATAGATCAATGTCGATAATATTGCACAAATGGAGATGCTAATGACAATATGTTGAGAAATCAACATACGTATGTATTTGGAAGAATGCCTTTTTGATCCACATGGAAAAAAAAACAACAAAAAAACAACTTCTTTAAAGAATAATCATGAAATTAATTACATATCACATTTACAAACAGCTCTGAATTTGGAATATAAAATTTTTCAATTTATAATCTTAACTAATACATGAATTTTATTTTTATTGAAGGAAAAATACCATTCTTTCCCTATTGATTATGAATAAACGAAAATTTTGTACAACTTTTGTTTCAGCAACATACTGATATAGCTTGTTAGGAAGGCAAGCTAATCTCTTAAAAAAAGTTTTAAAATCTACTAACATTATATACAAATACAACAAAAACTTAACTCTTGCACAAAATATCAATATGATATTGGCACATTCTGTTTCACATAATGTAGCAAGTGCAAAAGAAAGACAAACATATACTTCCACTGCAACATAACTAAAATAATTGAAAACATCCTGAAACTACCATGCAGAACAAATGTACAAAAACATACTCAAATTTTAATCAGTCAAACTAGAAAATACACATATTTCAATACATTCACAAATTAAACACAGATAAATACAACATAAAAGCATAGTAAGAATACATTAAAAGTAAATTATATACAGAAATGCAGCTACCATTTGTATTCATTTTTTTTGCATATTCATTCCAGAAACTGCAATATGATAATTTCAATGATGTGCCCTTATTGTTTTACATAACATTCATATATTATTTCCACTATCTTAAAAATTAAAGAAACAAGAAATTATAGGTCAGCAGATCAAACTGCCAGAACAGCGTTTATATATGAATATGTATTGATAGTATTCACATCAAAAATTGTATTCACCATTTACACTTCCAACACACTGAAGTTTCCATCAAGTACTGTACAACTTTCAGAAAATATCTGGTAATTGGGTCACTCACCACAGATTTACATTTAACTTTGTCATATAAATAAGTTAATTACAAGAAATTTTACAGCTATTTCATGGCACTTGCCAATTACATATATATGAAGTAGAAAAATCACATGATAAGTAACCCAATTATTTTATTAATAACATCTAGAAACCGTGACAACGATACAGAATATAGGACAGAATTATGTAACCAAATTTTGTTAGAGAGAGCAAGGTTTCTGAAATTTTCAAACACTTATTGCTTAGGTAATCTGAATTGCATTTTTGTCTTAGATGATTTATGTTGATGATCATTCATGCAAGAAGACTGGTACATTTATCATTCAACAAATCATTTTTAAATTCATTGACTTCTGTAAGATGCAGCAACAACAACAAGTTACATTTTTCATTCTACAAGCTAAGTCGACAGTGTTTCAACAAACTTTTTCAACAATATAAACATCACAACGATGTCACTGAAACTAGTCTTCAGTTGCCACACTATAATTCACAAAAGAAAAGTATAAAGTTTATCAGCTATTAAATGCATAATGATGAGAAAAATAACTCCAATGAAATTAGTGAGAAACAAATATCATTATTACTCTTTGAAGAAGATGAATGAAGTGAATCTGAATTAATGAACTTAACAAACAGATATTGTTCTGAAACAAAATAAGATTTATGAAGGAAGAAATAAGGACTACAATACTCTATTACAGATAATGACACAGATTCACTTTAGAGATATGCATTATCATTACTAACTAAAGGACACTGTTATATATAAAATAAAGAATGTTTACAACACTTCATGATGTGATGTCAATTTCATTAAGGCAAGATTTCCTTCCCAATGAAAACTCAGGAAATTAGTAGACTAATTTTTTCACATTTTGTTTCTTTAAGCCAACTTCTTTACAATCTTCACAGGACAGAAAGACATTGTATTATCTACAATAGTGATTTAAACTATGAATAACCACACAATATGGGGTTTAAACTGGACAGTTCAACGAGATAATGTTATTTGAATAGTGTTTTCTTTCCACCCCAAAAAGTATCTGCGACATTACTCCTAACGTCTAGTACTTATTAAAAAGTCCTGAATTAATCTGAATACACATCAAGCATGAAGTGGAACAAACAACATTAATAAAAAATATTACACTTCATTTTCATCTGAAAAATAATGGCCACTCACAATATCAAGAGTTGTAAATATATTGTCTGATCTCCCCGATATTGTCAAAACACACATAGAGCTAGAACACAAATATGACCCGTTTAAAGAGTCAAATAGCTGGATCTTTTTCGGCACATTACAATATTGATCTTAATTAGAGGGAAGATTTTCATTTACTGAAACAACAGAGCAGCAGAAACGGCAAGGCAGATATGACCAGGCATACTGTGGAGAGTATACAACTCGTGCAACAAAGCAGGACAAGTAGTTGGTTAATCTATGTAAATTTTGAAAACCGTAGATAGAAGTTGAACGACCTTTTACTGATATTTAACAGCTGCACTCTGTATTTACAATTTCAATGTACTCTGATATCATATATCATAAAAATGTCTTCATTTTAGTATATAATGCTATTCACCCATCATAAACATTGAAAAGTATAATCATGATAATGAAAGCTACACCACTACTGAAATGTGATTTATGCCAGTTTAAAAGAGATCATTTGTGCAAATAATCACAGTAGTGTACACAAATTTTATTTTCAGAGGTTGACATTTTGACAGTAATTATTTTTAATAAATACACCACACTATACTGTAGTATGTATTATTTTTTGCTTTAAAATCCTGTTTTAAAAGTGGAGGAAAATAACATAATACCCTTATGTTTTCATTCAAGTTTGCATTCTCATAAACTCTTCCCATAAAAGGAAATATGAAAAATAACTGACATATTTTTAAAAACAAAGATGGATTTAAATTTAGCATACTTCAACTTTAGTTAAGCTATTAGGGAAATGGAACAGTAATTAAGTGACATTCTCTAATACAGTTTTTTAAAATTGTTGTTAGGCATCCATTTCTATCAGCCTCAGTGCTTGTGTGTCTTACAAGCATTGCAAGCAGCTCGGTTTTCAGTATCAAAAATGCAGTCTAGAGTATTCATGAATGGATTACGAAATACAATCATTAAAGTTTAGACTTTTCCAGTACCATTATAATTTCAATTATCAAAATGAATAACTACCACCAAGATAACATAATGCAAGATAACATAATACTGTTGAATAAATATATTTCTTTCAATCAATAATGAAATGACATTACGTGAAATGACACACAAATCTTTCAAGTAAATAGATACAAACCCATACATGAAACTCTTTGCTATGTTTTGTTTGATTCTACCGATCAATATAGAGTCATACAAAATGGAATTTTAGGAATAATATTTTTGCACCAAGATTATAACGTTAAGTTTCCAATACTTTCTACATGTGATACTCTCCACGGTTTGTTTCTTTATTTCTTCCTGCTGACATCTGTTTTTTTTTTATCACCACATGATGGCTGCGATGTGTTTAACTGTATTAAGTACTACATAAGAATAGATACAACTTTAATATGAGGAACAGTTCATTATTTATGTTATCTTGTAATATATACGCCCTATGTATATACATTACATTTGAAATTTCTATATATATTGGATATATTTTTCTAACAGATCTATGACAGAACATTTTACTTTTTGAAGCATTTTTTGAACTGCTTATTGCAATCTTAAAAAGACGAGGCTGAACAGATGCCATATATTAATTTGTTTTAAAATCAGTCACATTTTGAACAAGAAACAGGGAAAACACAAACTGTGTTTTTTATTCAGCATCAAATCATGCCCAACATACCAGTGGTCTTCCAAACCCTTTTTGTAGTCTACAAATAACATACTTTCTGAGAATGCATTCATTTTAATCTGTCAACTCTTTGGAAAGTACTTTCATAAGACTACTCTACACGAGTGTTATTAAAGAAACTAATTCAAATATCACATACTTCCATACAACTTGGTTGCTTTGTTATCATTTATGTGATTTTTCCTTTAGTTCCATATAATTTAACCATCTAGATAATGAATTAAATAAGAAGGTAGATGGATCTGCTAAAGAAAACTGAAATAAGGGACTGAAGACCACCAGAACTTCACAACTCATATCTGGAAATTCGATACCTTAAACCTTTTAGGAAATGTGTACATTAAGAAATATTCAGAGAAAAAGAATAATATCTTAATTTCAGTTTTTCCATTATCTTTCATGAAATTTTCTTGATTATTACAACTAAGGGCACAATATGCTCTACACATTTCCACAGCCATCTGAATTCAGTTGTCTGACAATGCTAATACAAATTCAGCAAATGATATACAATCACTAAATGTAGTAGAGAAAAGTAAGTTGCATTAACAGCTCTAAAATATATCCTACCGAGAATATTTAACGTTGAAATTGGTATTATAAAATTAAATACTGTACAAATGAGTATTATTTGTATTACTTTCATTAACTATTTCACCCTCATTAGCAATTTGCCAAGATATTGAACTACATAACTTCAGCCTGATAAAAATAAAGTATATATTTCAGGAAGGAACTGCAAACATGCAAAATTAAGCATGTATATCACAAAACAAGAAACATGTTAATGGATAGTAATTAAGTAATACTCCGATTCATTTCTGGATTTACAAAAAGAAATCCTGAAATTATTGTCTGGTACATGCAAACAATCTAAATCGGTAACATATGAAAGTCCTACAAAATAGAGCAGAAGATCAATATTTTGAATAGTGCAGTGACCTTTCAACTTACATTAATGTCTGTATGACAGTGAAGCAGATTGCGACATTGAATGAAGTTCTGTAGTAAATATTTCTTCTTTTCAGAGGGCTGTGGCAATGTAATACAAAGATATCAGTTGTATTCAAGTAGAGAGGAGCAACAAAATCTAAGAGAGGATCGTAGTTACCAATTGCAAGGTGCAGCTGCAGGTTCAGAGTAGGTGGGGAAGGCAAATCACGGCAAAGGGGTAACCACTTGAACATACGTCACTGGGAAGTAGCCTTGACGACCAGCAATATTACCTTCATACCAATTCTCGTCAACCTTGCTGATTAATGTAATATTATCTCCTTCCTGTAAAAAAATGCACAATTTCCTTAAATTATAAATTAAAAAACCACTATGGGAATACTCTTGCCAAAAGAGTATTCCCATTATGCCTGGACAGACAGAATTTCATCAAAAGGTTTTCAAAATCTCCACAGGGGGGTTAAATTTAAGGGCGAGGTGAAGAAAGTGCAAAAAGACAATGGCAATAGAAATGTTTGTCAAATTGCAATTAAGTTTTGCTTGGATTCTACAAAACATGAGGAAGCATGTACTTGTGATTACTTCTCCTTCACAAATATTCATTCATCCTTACTTCCGAGTACCAGAACTCCAAGAAGCAGGGGATACGTTAAACAATATTCAAGCGGAAGGTCTGGAGGTCATAGTAATACATTGCTTTGCTTCATAGGAAGTAGACTTCACAATCATATTTAGGAAACTCATATCTGAGAGGTTCGATTCAACATATTAAGTCAGACCTTGTTTGTGGAAGGGTTAAAAAATCAATTTCTACTTTCTCACTACTGCTTACACAGTAAGAGAGAGAGTGATGTAATGCTGCGCAAAGAAACGGATAAATCCAATTGCTAAATTTAGAAGAAGAAGAAGAAGAAGAAAAAAAGAACTCTTGTTGTAGCCAGAACCCATGTTTCATGGATTGTTGAAACTGAACAATTGACTGATGCCAAATGTCTGTCTGTCAATCTGAAAAACAAGTTTTCTTCCAAAATTCATATTCTTCAACCAATATAGTTGAAACTGAAATTTTAATTTTGGGGAGTACTGTACATGGTGCTCCTGGCAAATTTTCAAAAAAATGGCACCCCAAGTTTTTGATTGAACTTTGTTATTGTGAAGGATGTTTAAGAGATTGGTGCAGGTCACATGTTCATTAAAAATCCTGATTTTTTGAAAACTGAAAAAATTTAAAAATGTTTCAGCATCTTCCTACAACTACAACTATGAAGATAGAGATTTTTTCCCTTAATGAAGTCTGTTCCTAAAAAAGATAGATTTTAAAAGGTCATGTACAATTATTTGAAAATTTGAGTTTTACAAACAATTATGATTGAGATGTTAATTGGATTGTTGGTGAAGTAGATACCTTTTTATTATGATATTCTGCAGGCAGAACTTTGTTTTCGGCCCAGAAGCTGCAAGCTCTGAGGATGATCGCTACGCGATCGAAATGATCATAAGTTGAATTAAAATATTGATACCTGACAATATCTTATTTATTTATCATGACTGAGATGTTTTAATTCAGAGAGAAATTGGGGTATTATGTAAGTTTTACTAAGAGCCAGAAAGTATGTGCTGTTAAGCACCACTAGTTTCTAATTTAAACACTGAAGGGAACACATTTCAAAATCACAGATATCTTATTAACATGGGTCAACATTAATTAATATCTTCACTATACATCAAATATAATGAAAAGAATTTCATATTCTCTTGATAAAAAAATGTAAAATATAATGTAAATATAAAATTACATTTTTGTTTATATCAAAACATTTCAACTTATTCAGCAATCTCCAATATAGTTTTTCTTTCTTTTCTTTTCTTTTTTTTTTTCTTTTTTTTCTTTTCTTTCTTTCTTTTTTCAAATCTTCCAGAATTTATTCCCTGTATGTAACCTGCTCGCTTCTGGACTTAGCCTTCTCTTTTTTCACATGAATATACCTTGTCTGAGACATCAGTCACATTTTCAAGTTTTTAGTGGCCTATCATGACAGGGATAGTATGGAATTTGCTTTGGATCATCAATGAACTTCTTAATATCAGTTGTGTTTAGTCCAAAGTTAAAAGAGGCTAGAAAACAATGTCTTATCATCTATCACCAAGTGCAAAAAAGGAAGAAACATTTGAATTGACAGGTTTTTCCTGGCCTGTACAGAAGTATCTCTTCACAGAGCGAGGAAGGATTCAAGGCAATTATTGACTTGTCAAAAATTATTGGCTTGAGGGGAAGAGATAATTTCAAGTCAATAATTTTTTGGGTGACATCCCAACACAAAAGGGTTTGAATTATTATTTCACAAAAGAATAAAATTCTGGGCACTACATAACTGATACAACAATTTCCACTACAGCCTACTACTGAAACTGAAGTAAATGCAATTAATAAAGAACATGGCATTGGCCTTCAATACAAGAATTCCCCAAATTCAATATTGAAGCATCATGGAAAATACACTCCATCAATATCCCCAAGTACAAGCTTTAAAATTTTCAGAACTTTCTCTTGAAAACCATATTTAGAAATACTCATGTGACAAATTCTGTTAACTACTGTCAACCAGTGCAAGTTACTATCTGGACCAAATCTTCAAATGGAACCAGATTTGAAGAAACTGTTCCTTATCTTGTGGCCTGTGAGCATCTACAGCTGCAACCTTGATCAGTTGAAAGAACTTTTATCACTCATCATATAGTATTATGATGGCATAGCAGGTTCCCAATTGAAGGTAGAGGAATTCATGGATCCATTTCCAGTTCTGTGGCAGTTTCAAGCATCTGACCAATTATCTATGTGCTAATTGGTGATGTTTTGCCATCTAGGGCAAAATGGCATGGCATCTCAATGGCAACTTGTGTGTGGTGAACACAAACTAACCAGATCAAGTTTTTAACCCAGTTTTGATCAACCCAATGCTTGACAACACCTTCTCAACAAGTGGTCTGACTTGTAGAATCACCTCTCATGATTCATAATTACCAATGTATCCATTCATTTTATATTAATAAAATCCAATAATTTTTAGCAATGACTTCTGATCTGGTTCTCTCTCTTTTGTGATTAATCTTCCTGCATGCTCACTGTGCATTGAACAGGGTTGTTTTTTCTTATACCTGGAAACTGCTGATCTGTTTTATCTGCTTTCAACAACTCTAGTTGACAATCCTAAAAGATTATTCACCTGTTATTACCCTTTCACCAAGAGACTCAAATTCCAACCAAGGGTATGCATGATCATTTGCACAGACCTCATCATATCTTATCCTTTGACTGATTAATCAATAATTTATCAGCCAAATAAAAACCAGTAAATAACAAAGGCAGCTGTCAATGCAACTGGGACCCGCGTTTCAATACTATTCCTACAGTTCTTTATCTCTACATCTTTCAATTCAGGTTATTGGGTTATCTTCATAGGTGTGATCTTGCGACCTCTTCCAAATTCACTATAACAGTTAAACACTAAGTAACTTCATTTTCCAGATATTCTGCTTCATTGTTATCATAGGCTATGATGATGCTCGTTATTGTCACTGAAAGAATCTAGACGCTAAAATTTTCTATTTCTTTGATTTTCATGACCCCATCGGCTTTTTATTTCATTTATAGTATTTTCTATATTAGTGTCACATGTTGTAAACGAATCTGTTGTAAACCCAAGGAGCCTTTCTTTACCACTTGATCTTTAACAAAAAAAGCCCATTCACTGGAATTTTTATTGAGCATTATCAATTAATGGGGGCTTTTCCTGAACAACTTCCAGCTTTGCCAAGGTATCCAAATGTACAGCACAGAATAATGTACTTGTAATTGAGAGTATAAAAAGTTAATCAAGTTTTGAAATGAAGACTTTCTTGACATTTAATTTTTCTTCTTAGAAAAAAGTTTCTAGTTTGATCCAAAATGCTTCTATATCTCAGGACAAATTGTTACTCAAATTGAAAATTGGGCTAAAAAAAGAAAGCTCTGTAATTTTCCATTTTTTGAGCACTTTAAAGTCGCTGTAATTTGCAAGATCATCTAATGGTTAGTTTTAGAAACTATAAAACTGTTTTGTTTCAGGTATGGATCAGAAGAATGGTAATATCAAATAGCAATGTTGCAAGGTAGTTCCTATATGTTCTGTTAGTGAGTTATTCCAATCCAGGTATTACTATATCGCTTTACAATATCAAAGAAAGAAAAAAGAAAGAAATTTTCCCTTAACAATTTACCAAGTGAAAAGATATCTTACTCATTTTTTATTTACAAGGGTTGGGGCAGAAGACACAGCAACTATTTTTTTTTTTTCTAAAAGAAATGTTATCAGATAAGACAATTTTACTTGTCAACTGCTGTGAAAGAAATGCTTTACTAATGTGTTCACAACAGATGGTTTTTATTAGTTCAGACAGCAATGTGAAATCAGTTGCCTGACTTGACGCCATGAAATGCGAGATGAATGTAATCCATTTTGAGCACTGCTCATACACAAAGATAGCTGTTATCCACAGGAGAAATGCCCGAGGACGTCCCAAAGAATTGTTGGAAGCTCTTGGGAATAATGCCCTTGCACACCAAACATTTGCGAGATGGGGAGAAGAGTTTCTGCAAGGACATGTAGCAACCAGAGATCAGCAACGCAACTGATGACCTATGATTTTATGTACCGATGTGGCACTTGTGGTAATGCTTTCGGAATGTTGTGAACTCATATATGCTAAAATACTTCAGAACATGAAACCAGTACTGTCATTTAAAGTGCCTTAATAAATATGAGAAACACAATTTTGGTGTGTTGTATGCATGCACATACTACATAACTTGCCCTTTCACAAGTACATTTCAGACTTCCTACCCATGCTCGAATCTCGCGACAAAAAGTTGCCATGACTCATATTCACCCCAACCCTTGTACATTTTTGGAAATAACATACCAAGACAACTTTTATTCACCCCTCATTTTTCAGTTTCAGAATTTGATTTCCGTGACACACTCTAATGTAATGTATAATGTAACAAAATATATTTAGAAATAAATAAAATGTGTAATTATTACAAGATATGTAAATAAACACAGTGGTTTTAATTCATTCAGAAAGTGTAACAAAAAACAAAAACAATATTTAATGCAAGAATCTTGTACCATTAAACATTTGTATTTACATGAAAAACCATCCCCTCTATATATCTAATGATTAAGTAAATCTATTGGTTTTGCTATTAAATGCCATAGAAAAATGTTAGATTAGATAAACAAAACTGAATAAAACAACTTACAGTTTATATCAACTTAGAATTC